TAAAGTTATTCCCTCTCGTTTCGTTTGCGAGTTATTTCCTCTCGTGTCTTTAGCGAGTTTTCCTCTCGTTTATTTGGCGAGTTCTTTTTTCATAAGGTGAAACAATTTATTTGATAATGGAGTATGTTTGCTTTATCTCGAGCACCGACGAAGATCTAAACCTTGATATGTACTTCAGATTAATGGAGATATTGTCTATGGACAGAAGAGCCGCAATAGAGTCAGACTTGGGTAGCAAGATCATTAAAAATATCAAATAAACTTCAAGTTCTCCAAACGAATTCAACTTCAATCTTGAAAAACAGTTAGAGATTCAAGTTTCGTGTAGCATTGCAAATTTGTTTCAATGTCTGATTGTAAGAATGATTTATCATTCCTTCGATCTTATTGTAAACTTTTCATTGTATGATTAATGAATTAGCTCTTTTGTTTAAAAAAAAAAATAATTTTAACCATGACATTAATATCTGAAATAATTTTAGATATGTAACCCCATAACCTACAACTTTAATATGGAGTTTAATTCTCAAAATTAAATTGGAATTAATTTTAAATTAAATCCTACGTATCAAAATTTATACTGCTAGAATGGTACTTTTAATAGTACTTCGAGTAATACCCACAAATAGTTCCCTGAACGTTATGAATGGTCAACTATTTATCAATCGAATGGTCAACATTTGAATGGTAACTTCTCGACCGAATAGTCAAGTCTGAATTGTAAACAAAATTTTACTCCTCGGACAGTGGGTCTGAGTTGAAAAAAACATATGAAAATTTGACATAACTTAGCTTGCAAGGCCACCCCTTGAGCATGAGAGAGAGCATCTATGCTGCGCTATACAATTCAACCTTCTTTTAAAATGCTCTTGTATATATAGCGGTGCAAACCCACTCCTCATACCAATGTGGGGCAAGTGCTTTTGCAAAGTCTTTCCACCTTTGAAAGTCGAAGGACCACAGATGATCAATTTGAAAGTTTAGGACTAAACATGGCAAAACCATTATACTGGGAGGACCCCATGTAGCATTTACTCTGATAAAAAATTGTTCCTGTAGAATCCAACCAATATAATCCCACTGCTCCTCTTGCTCACGCTTCCCTTTCCACGTCTCTTTTTGTTCCTCCTCCAAAATTTAAATAAACGATGAGGAAGATAACAAGAAAAGAATTACTAGTACTATATAGGCATAGGAAACATATGGAGAGGGAGGGAGACAGCCACACGCAGGCAAGACTCAACAAATCTGATCGGAGATGTTACAAAACTCGCTTTTGGATTTGATATACGAAGGATGCCCATAGCCAAAGGAACAATGTAACACCCCTAATTTTTTAAAAACATTTAAAACTTAAGCAATAAGATGAAACTATCATTAATATCCAACAGAGCGGAAGCTAACAACATAAGTATCGGGGTGCTATGCCACATCTAAGTCTGAGGACCTAGATGCACAGGCAAAAACTAACTAAACTAGCATCATCCACAATTGATATCCCAATACAGTAAAGGCGCACATGCCATCTAAACTAAGACTAGAACTAACTACAGCTAAGCCCACGATCCATCTAGCGCGCTCCGAAGCTACTGGTCAGTACCTGAAAAACATACGGTGTAACAACCGTCAGCGAATAATGTTGAGTAACCCATTCCCACGCGTTGAGTACAATATATGTAGATATAAGAAAACCATTTTGAGACTCGGGAATACATATATAGTCCTAAACAACTCTAGCTTTAAAACCAAGATCAAGACTCGAGACATGCCAACAGACTTGACACTATAGAACACATAAAAGTACTAGCATGCATCCTAAGACCACAAGACAAGACAACAACAAGACTCAAACTCCATTCGAAGATCTGTTACGCCAATCAAGGCACAATATCACTCCAAGGGTACTATAGCACTGCACTCCAAAAGTGTTGCTGCCCATAATGTATCAAAGTAACTGTAGCACCACACTCTAAAAGTACTACAGCCCACCGCATGCCAATAGGTCCTGCAGCACCGCACTCCAAAGGTACTACAACCTATCATAACCAAGGTACTGCACCACCGCACTACAAAGATGCTGCAGCCCGTAAAACCAATGGTACTGCAGCACCACACTCCAAAGGTACTGCATCCCATCATAACCAAGGGTACCGTAGCACCACACTCCAAAAGCACTGCGGCCCCACCAGATCTGCCTTTCCAACACAACAGCACATAACACACAACAATGCTTCAATGAGGGATAATTAGAGGGAAGGGTACAGCAAGCACATAGACTCTTACCAACGGTTGACACAATACCAACACACAACCCACGGGAACCACATAGAGTCTACTTCCAACGACCACTAGGCAACCACAAGACTTCTAAGGGAACATACAAACCTCATCCTAGGCCAACGGGACACCAACTTAAACCACATGCAATACCCAAGACCCATGACTCCTAATTCGGTATCCACGGCACCAACTAGACTCATAAACATTAAACGGGCACAACGGGGAACGGGGAAACAACAAATGGGAGGCAAAACGACACACCGCCCGCTCGTACCAGCGGGCGGAACGGCGGGTGGACAACCACTCGCCGGTACAGTGGCCTGTACTAGCGGGTGGTCAGGTGGGGGTTCGTCCCTCCACCGACTACCCGCTGGTATGAACACTCTTGGCTTATTTTCCCAACCCGGGAATTCATTAGACTTACCCAAAATCAAGTCTAAACACATCCCCACACGCATCAATAATAACAAAGACTTGAATACCAAGAATAAGTCAAGAAATAACACAATTACTTCCTAGACACCATAGTTTATAAAATAACTAGACTTTTATCTTATTTTTTCGGGACCAACATAAAACTCTGTCCAAAATTTACAGGAGTACATAAGTCTTCTTACAATTCTATCAAATCATCACAAAATCTAGTACTCTTACTAGCAATCCCTCGCTTTATCACAAATGCCGATAACTTTCCCATTGCCTACAATATCATCACAAACACCCATTAAAGCCTTACATGACATTTGGTTAAGATGAAATAATTAGGAGGGAAAGGAATTGTAATTCGGTTGGAAATGAATAAGGTGAAAATAAAAGTAAGAATCTAAATTACATTCTTTGGTATGAAGGATAAGATTATAGAGAATGTAAAGGGAAGTTATATAAAGACTAAAATGCCCTTGCATAATAATAATAATAATAATAATAATAATAATAATAATAATAATAATAATAATAATAATAATAATAATAATAATAATAATAATAATAATAATAATAATAATAGTAATAGTAATAATAATAATAATAATAGTAATAATAATAATAATAATAATAATAATAATAATAATAATAATAATAATAATAATAATAATAATAATAATAAGGGCAATTTAATTATTTTCCTTGTTTTTTTTTTTTCCTTTCTTAGCTGCGTTGAATTAGAATTTGTAGGGATACATGAATTGCAATTCAACAAAATGAGGAAATTGCAATTATATGGAATTACAATTCTCATCATCCAAACACTATTATTTAGCATGCCAAAGATTTATGTTGTAAATGAAATGCAATTCATGTCAACCAAATGGGTTGTAATTCTATCCATAACTTTGCAACACACTCTCACTTTTAAAAGTAAATTATATTTATACATTATCAAATTTATAAGTCATTTATGACCCGTTTGGTTCGAATAAAATATTTGAGTGAAATTGAGATTCATAAAAAAAATTACCAAAAAGATATATTATATTATTTGTTTGGTAGAAAATAAATTACTTTGAATAATAATAAATAATAAGTATAAAGACTAATATACCCTTGCACAATAATAATAATAATAATAATAATAATAAAAGTAATTAAAAAACTTTATGAGGGCAGAATTGTCCTACCAAGAGAGCAAATAAAACTGTATGGAAAAAATACCTATTTTTAACCAAAAAAAAAAAAAAAAAAAAAAAAAAACTTTTTACTCAAATGTTAGGAAATTTACTTTGGAAAATGAATTCCATGAACAGAACAAAGGAAAATACTAACTTCATTGAAAAATGTCAATGATTTTGTAGTCTAGTGACACTCTCTCATATGGGAGATCATGAGTCTGAGTCTCAGTGGGGACGAGAGTTCAAGCCTCAGTAGGGGCTTCTGTAGGTTCGCCTCCACTGAGGCTCAAACCAACAACCTCCCATATGGGAGAGCAACTTGGTACCACAAGATCCTAGACATTAGTAGAACTGCATTATAACAGAGTCTGTAGTACTTAAAAAACTTCCTTAAAAAATATTTTCATCTAACCAAACATACTCTTAATATTTTTTTTGAAAGTTACTGGTTCTATTACATTGTAGTATCTGTTCATATACTTTCTCAACCTACTGAAACACAAAGAACCAATAACGCCTCCACTGAGGCTCGAACTCATAATCTTCCAAATGGAAGTCCAACCCGGGTACCATTAGACCACATAGTCCTGGTCTTAATATTTTTTCTACATTCTTACAATACTCCATTACTTTAAATAGTATTCTTAATTTTAAATTACATTATAATATAATAAAAATAAAAAATAAAATAAAAAAATAAAAACAAAAATATCAAAGGACTGTCAAATGATGCTTGTACCTTGGGCTTGAACTTTTAGCCCAATGATTTATTAGTATTATTAGTGGACTAGAAACAATTTAGCCCACTGTTGCCGCCAAGGGCCCAAATCAAGGGCAAATTATTGTATGGACCATGGTCCACACAATGTTACGTGGACCATAATAAAAAGTACATTTTTAATATATTAAATGTACATTATTTTTGTACTGAATGTACATTATACAATATAATGTACACTCAGAACAAAAATAATGTATATCCCCTGTATACAATATACATTATTTTTGTACTAAATGTACATTATTTTTGTACTGAATGTACATTATTTTATAGTAGACAAAATATGGTCCACACAACTTGTGTGGACCATAATCAAGCTTCTCAGTATTCTTTTCATCCAAACGCAAAGCATCTAGGCAGACAGGCAGTAGCAAAGGCGAGGGTTTCTAACACTTTTCCCCTAATCTCTTTTTTCTTCCCAAATTCTTTTGTTTCCGAAACCTTGTGGGCTGAATTGGAATTCAAATCGAAGATCGATTTTAACTTCTGTTTCCGGTTTAATGGCGAGTCGTCGTCGGAGAAAATCCGAAGCGGATGCCGGAAGGGATCTGATAAGTGAACTACCCGCAGAAGTGAAGGAAAGGATTTTGGAGTGTTTGTCTGTTCAAGAGGCTGCCAGAACTGCTCTGCTCTCAACTCACTGGAACAATGTTTGGGTGCGGCATGGGCGACTTGTGTTTGATTGGTGCTTCTTCGGATCCTTCTCAAAGGACAAAGGTGAGAAAGGTATAGCTCCTATTAACAAAATAGATGATATTCTAATGTTCCATGCTGGACCGGTTAAGAAATTTACTCTACACTACGCATGGCATCATTGTCTTCTCCCGCAGTCTGAATTAGATAGGTGGTGTCGTTTTCTTTCGAGAAATGGTTTACAGGAGCTTAGCTTGTATATTTCGCGTAAACATATGGTGCCATCGTGTATATTCTCGTGCCGGACAATTAAGCCACTGTTTCTGGGCAATTTCATTTTTGATTCTCCGTTCCCTAATTGTATATTTCCCAGTGTCACTTCATTAACTTTCAAGAATGTTGAATTTAGTGATAATATTAAAGGGAATTCTATACACAATTCCTAATATTGAGGAGGTGTCTTTCGGTGATTGTAAAGGGATCAGTAATTTTGAGATCAGTAGTCCAAAACTTGAATGCTTGAGGGTTATTGGTAATCGGTCTTGCAAGTTTGATCAATCCAGATGTATTACCCTTTATTTGAAAACAATTAAGACTCTTTGCTTGAGTGTCAATAATCCGTTGCAGCCTGAAGGTGAGAATCTCTACTTTTGCATTCTCTTCCTTTATGCAAATGGATTGATTATAAGTATTGACAGTGTTCTATGATTTTTTTTTTCAAGTGTAAAAATGCAGAAATAGACACAGTGACATTCCCAACCGCAATAAATTTGCAAGTGATTGAGCTGTATAATTTAAATGTTTCATGTCAAGAGCGGCTTGCCTTAGTTTTGCAGTTGCTTCAACATTCCCCCAACCTATGTGAGCTGAAGATTACGCTAGCAGATGGTGATGGTGTAAGACATGAAACCTATGGACTATATCATTATATATATATTTGGAAGTTGGAATCATGATTGTTTCTTTTCCTTGTTAATTTCCTCATGGTTGTATGTGTTATTCACTTATTCATTTCTTAGTTGTGTGATAGCGATGTTCATGTGAGGATATAACAATGGCTACAAGACTTTTGGAGGAACCAAACAGTTGCATTGTTAAACAGATCTGAAGATTCTTAACACAATCATGATTGATTGGTTTAGTGGATCTACACCCGAAAAGCTTTTTGTGAAAATGTTGCTCTTGAAATCCCCTGCACTAGAGAGAGTTTTAATACAGGAAGGTGAAGATATTGAAACCTCTGTAGCCTTCAAAAGCCTAAGGGAGTTGTTGCGTTTTCCACGTGCATCTCCGAAAGCCCAGATTGTTTGTATGGAATACGACATGGAATGGGACGACTATGAGGAGCCCAGACTATTTGATTACATAAGCTCCATGGGTTCAATTTTGATGCAACCTAGAAATGTAAGCAATGGTTGTGGTGGAAGTTGAAATCCGGTAAGATAAGGATGCCGCACCTTGTTTCCTTCGTTGTTCAGTAAGTATTATGTTGTAATGTATTTTGAATCTATAAGCAGTCATTGAGAGTGGTTCTACATAACTCGTCGTTGGTTATTTTTGGGGAACTCCAGTCCGTACCCAATAATATTCAGGCATGAGAAATGGGGTTTGGCTACTATGCGTTATAAGGGACTCAAATGATTGTTTTATTGCTGCTAAGAAAATGCCATGGCATGGGCTCTTCAAACCTGGGGAAGCAGAATCTAATTGTCAATGATGTTAGGGAATTAGCTAGAGCATTTTCTATTCTTTGTTTTTGTTTGTTAAAACGATCTGTGAATAGAATTGTCCATTTGTTAGCTAGGGAGGTCTTATAGAATTGGGCTTGTAAGGTATCCATAAAGACATTATCCGGTATGCAGATTTGACAATCGTTATGCGTTGGACCCGTGTCCAGCATGCTTGCTGGACACGGGTAACAGTGCCGTTAGGCACTGTTATCTCCTTTTGCTTCGTTATAGGAGTATATGTTCATAATTTTATTATTATATGTTAATAACTGTATATTCATAACTCCATAAGTGTACGTTCATAACTTCATAACTCTACATTCATAACTCTATAACTGTACATTCATAACTCCATAATTGTACATTCATAATTTTCAAAGCTCTATGTTCACAACTTTAGAGCTCTATGTTCATAATTTTATAACTATATATTCATAATTGTAAGTTCATAATGTTAGAGCTCTTTGTTCATAATTCGATCAATAACTGTACATTCATAATTCCCTAACTGTAGATTCATAATTTCATAACTGTAGATTCATAACTCTATAACTATACATTCATAACTCCATAACTATACATTCATAATCTTCGAAGCTCTATATTCACAATTTTAAAGCTCCATGGTCATAATTTTATCACTATATATGTTCATAATTGTAAGTTCATAATGTTAGAGCTCTGTGTTCATAATTTCATAATTATATAACTGTACATTCATAACGGCATAACTGTACATTCATAATCCAAAAAAAATAATGCCATTAACGGCAAAACGCGCGCGTTTTTTTTTTTTTTTTTAACTAAATGACGCGTTTTTTTTTTTTTAAAACGACGTCGTTTTGGGCCCGTGTCCACAATTCATTGTGGACACGGGTCCAGGGCATAATTTGCCTAGATTTGATTGGTGGGTTTTGGATTATGCCGGATCCATAATGCAAGTTAGACCTTGGTCCATGGTATAATTTGTGCTTAGAGTGACTTTAGAAAATTTCTAATTAATTAAGGCATCATAATGTCGCTCAACAATCACCATTCATTCATGCTAAAAAATGATTTTACAATTCAAGATTTCATAATTAAAGAAAAGAAAGATCAATCGCAACTGTTAATATGATTTGTCCTCCTCTAGTTAAAAAGAGCAACCTCTCAAAGTGTACTGCTTCTCTACTACTACTACTAGAGGGAGAGGGACATTGTGGGAGTTGTATGTTCTTGAGTGGGAGTTTTACAAAATTAATATGGTTGGCACCAAGCACAAGTCTTTTCCCCTGGACACTTATGTTAATGTTGTTTACCCCTCCACTATCATATTCTATTGTGTTTGAGGCTAGGAAATTTCGCTTTTTAATTTGTGGGCAAACTAAAGTTTTTTTTTTTTTTTTTTTTTTTTTTTTTTTTGGCCTTCTGGCTTGTTAGAGTTCTTCTCATGGTTATTTTATTTTATTTTTTTTTTGGCCTTCTGGCTTGTTAGAGTTCTTCTCATGGCTAATTTTTGTTTCTTTTACTGTTTTTAAGCTTGATGAAGTTGTAGTAGTCTCACAGGTGTTCCCAACAGCAAGAAATCTTCAAGTGTTGTGGGTGATAGATTCAGACTTTGGTCGTGGAAAGTGAATCACTGTTGCTTTGGAATTGCTTGAAAGATCCCCCAACCTATGTAAACTGAAGATTAAAGCAGAAAACACGCTAGCTAGCTGGTAAGACATGTAAACTACCAATGGAAATCATTTTTTTTCTCAAATTCAATTGACTCATGGTTGTATGTGTTTTGTGGGAGATTTATATAGTAATGAGTACTCAAATCATGTGTTTTTCCCGCTCAAATTCCTCTGGAAAATATCTTGCAATGGGGCATCAAAATCTTCCCATGAAGTCTTAGGAATGGGGTATCAGAATACAATCGTTATGCTATGGACCCGTGTCCAGCATGCAATGTGGATACCGTAACGGTGCCGTTAGTGGCACCGTTATCTTCCATTTTTTTTTTTTTAATTTCGGACCGCTTCGTTATAGGAGTATATGTTCACAATTTTATCACTATATGTTCATAATTGTAAGTTCATAATGTCAGAGCTATGTGTTCATAATACCATAACTGTACATTCATACTTCCATAACTATACATTCATAATTCCGTAACTGTACATTCATAATTCAATAACTGTAAATTCATAATTTTTGAAGCTCTATGTTCACAATTTTAGAGCTCTATGTTCATAATTTTATCACTGTATGTTCATATTGTAAGTTCATAATGTCAGAGCTCTGTGTTCATAATTTCATAACTGTACATTCATAATTCCATAGCTGTACATTCATAATTCTATAACTGTACATTCATAATTCCCTAACTGTACATTCATAATTCCATAACTGTACATTCATAATTCCATAACCGTACATTCATAATACCATAATTATACATTCATAATGCCACAAACGAATAACGCCGTTAACGGCGAGACAAAATCAATATTTTTTTTTAAACTGGAATGCTGCGTTTTTCCTTAAAACGACATCGTTTTGGACTCGTGTCCACAGTTGATAATTTGCTATCAGAATATCCCTTGGCCGTGTTTGGTAAAAAATTGGCCTTTAGGCCAATTTTGGCTATTTGACCACTATTAATTGTTTGATTTAGTTAAAATATTAATATAAGTGTTTGATTAATTAGGTTTTTGCAACTTCAAAATGCTAAAATTCAAAAGCTACTCCAAGCAACTTTTTCAATTAGCTTTTTCAGAAAAGAAATTATACCAAACAACTATCAACTAACAGCTAATTTACCAAACACTTTTCTACAACAGTTAATGTTATCAACTAGTTATACCCTCTAATTAACACAATCATCTACCAGCTACACAGCCATTTACCAAACAAGGTCTTAGCTTTTTGAAAATTTACTGTAACCATTCATAATCTCCATTTACTCACCATTATTGCATAATTTGAGTGCTAGTTGTAACGTTTATCCGTTACTATTATTATAACATTAGGATAAGTTATGATAATATTCAGTATTTGATATGTGGTGCAACACTAATAACCTAATAACTAGACTACCATTATGATTAGGAGTCTAGTTAGGGTTTAGGAGACCTAAAGACAATCAACCATAATGATGGCCAGTGGTTATATAAGGTCACTAGTCCTCTCACTGCTCACACTACATACCTCATACACCATCTAGAGAGAGCTGAGTAAAGTGAGAGACAAAACACTCGTTATCTCTGCAGCAGTCCGGATCGCTCAACCGTAACAAGAAACTATGGCTGGAGGTTAGTTGATCCTATAATCACATATTATATGATGCATGTGATATTTTAGTCTAACAGTTGGTATCAGTCGCCATAAATAATCTCTGCCTAGTTCGTTTAATTGCATATAATATTTGCATATGTTGTATACATATTTGTATAATTCAATTAGATATGGTGAATATTCTTTGGTTCGCAATTAAATTGTCTAGACGGCTAGAAATTTTAGTTTATTCCGCATTAAGAAACAAAAAATAAAAAATAAAATTGGATATTAAGCTATCTACTGCTTCGCCATTTTTTTTTTCTCGCTCGGAATATGGCTGGAGCCAGTGGTGTTTGGAGCTTAACCTCCAGTTTGTCTCGCCGGCGGCCGTTCCAGTGGTGGAGATGAATCAACGGCGACGGTGGTGGCTGGTTCGCGCTGTGGCGGGCGGACGGCGGTGGACATCGGCGTTGCGTGGAGGCCAGGTGGCGGTGGCGGCGTTGGGTTTCCCAGCGACGAGGCTGCTGTCTGCTTTCCGATTGGCGACGCCGGCGACCTTTTGGCTGTTGTTCGTCCTCCATGGTTGCTGTTCGCCGATGATGTAGCGTCGCAGGTCGCCTGGTCTGCTTCTGTTCGCGCTGCTTCTACGTAAGAAGGTTCAGTAGCGTGGTGAAGAAGATGATGATGGATGATGGTAAATAAGTTAATGGGCCAGGTCTGGCCCAATTGGGCCAGACTTGGGCTCATTTAAAAAAAAAAATTACTGGGCCTGTTATGGTTTTGGGTCAAGCCTGAATTGATATTTGGACTACATCAATTCATTCAGTTTAATATCATCATCATATTTGGACTTCTTCTAATTAAATTATCCAATTGAATTTTTTTTTTTAAAGTCTATTATTAAATTATTATTCAACTTTGAACAATTATTCAGTTTTTAATTTTCAGTTGAATTTTAATTTAATAATGTTTTCAGTTTAAATTGTATTAAGTGTTGCAATTTAATTGTGGAGTATTTTGTGAATAATATGCATAATCGGAGCATTGCTATTTATCTCTTTATTGCAATAATTATTTTACTGTTATAATTATGCTTGTAGAAAAGCATGTTCATTAAGAAAAATTTAGAGCCTTTTAGGTCTGAATTATATGCTATGCATGATTTAGTGCCTTTTAGGTGAATTAGTGACTTTCAGGTTAGATTATGCATATTATTACTCAATCTTCAGTTATTACTCCACTCGTGTTTTATAAAGTTCCTAAAGCACATAAAGTACATAAACAATTCGTAGTTTACCCTATTCAAAGCCTAATCCATAGGTGAAACTACTCTTTAGATCTCTCAAACGATTTTACTTCAAAAATGAGAACACATGAATTAGGGAAGTTTCTTGGGGAGGAATACTAGTTCTATGGCCCTGGCTTAAAAGCCTTGTTGCTACTAGTCCCCTTGCGACGCTACTCTGTCTAAGGAGTTGGTTTTTAACCGAGCTTCGTCTCGATCAACTTTCCTGGGAGTATACATACCTAAGGATTGTCTATCATATTTTGGTTTAATCTGTTTGATTATTAGGTTTTCTTGCTAATGTGATTATGTTCTTTGGTTAATTAAAGAGTAGCCACATCATCTTTAATTTTTCCAAAATTACATATTAAGTTTTACTCACATAAAGTTAATGCAAGAATATTGTAATTCACTCTGCGTGATATGGCAAAATTTAGCCCACAGGCAATTTTGTTATATTTGTAAGGTTAATTAGAATGAAATACCATGCTATGATCATAATTTGCCCACAGGGATTATGTATCGGCATATAGTTTTGGTAGTTTTGTCATTAAGGGTGGAAAAATTAAAATCGCACTCATTCCGTTTCCACCATTCAGTTTTGGTAAATTCATTATGCGTAAAAATTTAGCCCACATGCAATTTTTATGGCATCCGAATTTACCTTTTGCATAATTTTACATTGGTAATATTATGTACTTCAGTATCTCTCTCTATTTTTTGTGCCTCGAAAATATTCTAACCAAGCTTTCAATTTTCTTTTTACAGTCACTCTTCCAATCACTCAATCAATAACAATTGATATTCCTATCCTCAATTATGATAATCACAAAGAGTGGAAAGACGCTGTCCTATTGAATTTAGGAATATTAGGGTTTGATTATGCTCTTCGCATTGGGAAGCCTGCTGAGCTTACTGCGGAAAGCACTGAGGAACAAAAAACGCTATATGAGCGATGGGCAACAGCCAATCGCTTGGGCGTATTCCTCATTAAGTCTAAAATTTCCAGAGAGATTCGTGGTCCCGTCGATGATATTGAGGACATTGAGACATTACTCAAAGCCATCGATGATCAATTTGTTGACGCGAACAAATCTTTGGCAAGTACCCTAATAATGCAGTTTATCAATATGTGTCTTTCCACTGTCAAGGGAACGCGGAAACACATCATACAGGTCAGGGACATTGCGGCTCAATTGAAGAAGTTGAAGATTATTCTTCCAGATGCCTTTGTGGTGCACTTTGCACTAAATACCCTATCTCAGGACTATAATGCATTTAAAATTTCCTATAATACACATAAGGATGAATGGTCTATCAATCAATTGATTACCATGTGTACTCAAGAGGAAACACGGCTTTTAACTGAGCTTGGGAAAAGTGCTTTAATGGCCACAACAAGGCCTAAAAGAATGTTTGGAAAGCCTAAGGGACTTACCATGGCTGCAAAGGGGAAACTAACCCCTAAAGCAGACATTAAGAAGATACAGAAGTGTTTCTTTTGCAAAAAGAAGGGACACATGAAGAAAGATTGTATCAAGTTTCAGAAATGGATGTCCCAAAAAGGTAACATTTCATCTTCTTTTGTTTGTTTCGAATCTAACATGTCAGAAGTTAATACTAATTCCTGGTGGGTTGACTCTGGTTCAACAATCCACATTGCAAACTCTTTGCAGGATATGACAAAACTGAGACAGCCAAAGGGAACTGAGTGTGGCATCTTCTCTGGAAACAAGATTGCGTCACCAGTAGAAGCTGTCGGGGTTTGCAATTTAGTTTTGGACAATGGTTTTGTTTTGACATTAGAAAAGACATTTTACGTTCCTAGTTTTTCTAGGAACTTAGTTTCAGTATCTAGACTTGTACCCTTCGGATATTCTTTTGAATTTAATGCCAATGATTTCAAGTTATTTCGTTATTCTACTTGTGTTGGTACTGGTACAATGTCTGATGGTCTTTTCCGTCTTAAATTAAAGAATGATTCAGTTTACAATTCTTTACATGTTCAAAATGGCACCAAACGGTGTAGTATTAACGACAATTCCTCAATGTTGTGGCATCGGAGATTAGGTCATATCTCCCTTGAACGTATTAAAAGGTTGGTAAAGGATGGAGTACTTTCTACTCTAGACTATACTGACTTTGAGACTTGCATTGACTGCATTAAGGGTAAGCAGACAAACAAGTCAAAGAAAGGTGCCAATAGAAGTTCAACGTTGTTGGAAATTATTCATACTGGCATCTGTTGTCCTGATATGACAATACCTGGTCAGAAATATTTCATCACCTTTATTGATGACTTCTCAAGATTTTCCTATGTGTATTTACTTCATCATAAACATGAAGCATTGGATGCCTTTAAATCATTTAAAGCTGAAGTTGAAAACCAATGTAACAGGAAAATACACAGTTAGGTCTGATAGGGGTGGCGAATACTATGGTAGATATACTGAGAATGGACAAGCACCTGGTCCCTTTGCTAAGTTTCTTCAAGAGCATGGGATTGTTGCCCAATACACTATGCCTGGTTCTCCGGACCAAAATGGTGTAGTTGAAAGAAGAAACCGGACCCTTCTGGATATGGTGCGGAGTATGCTTAGCAACTCTAAGCTTCCTAAGTCGTTGTGGGATGAAGCACTTAAGACGGCCACGTATATATTAAACCGTGTTCCAACCAAGGCTGTCCCTAAGACACCGTTTGAGTTATTCAAAGGTTGGAAACCGAGTTTGCAACATATGCGTGTTTGGGGATGTCCGTTTGAGGTGAGGATATATAACCCACACGAGAAGAAACTTGACCCAAGGACGATTAGTGCTTTCTTTATTGGATATGCACAGTCCTCTAAGGGTTATAGGTTCTATTGTCCATCTCATACTACTAGGATAGTGGAATCAAGGAATGCTAAATTTCTTGAAGATGACTCGATTAGTGGGAGTGATCGGTTTAAGGACTTAGTTCCTTCCTTCGATCATACTGACTCTTGACCTTCTACATCATCTGGTGGGGTTGTACTTATCCGCAGTGCTCCTTTAGTTTTGCCTGCAGATATACCACCTACCGTTGAGATTCCACAAACTGTTGAGGATCAGCCTTTGGAAGAACCAGTTCAGGACTTACAGCAACCGCCTGAACTAGATTTCGAACCAATGGTTGAACCAACTCAGGATATACAGCAAGATTCTGAGCCGATACAGACTGAACCGATTCAAGAACTGCCACCAGTTCCTGAAGAGGTAGTTGCCCCGCAGCCTGTACAAGGTGATGAGCGTCCAACCTTAAGACGGTCTACTCGGATAAGGCGATCAGCAGTTCCTAGTTATTATGTTTCGTATCTACAAGAATCTGACATAGGGGCTGAAGATGATCCTGAAACATTCTCTCAAGCCACAAATTGTGCACAGTCTGACTTATGGTTAGAAACCATGAAGGATGAAATGAATTCCATGAAGGACAATGGAGTTTGGGATCTTGTTGAGTTGCCTAATGGGGCCAAGGCCATTGGCTGTAAATGAATTTTTAAGACTAAAAGAAACTCATTAGGCAACATTGAGAGATACAAGGCCCGGCTTGTTGCCAAGGGATTTACTCAAAAAGAAGGAATCGATTACAAGGAGACATTTTCTCCTGTATCAAAGAAAGATTCACTTCGGGTCATTCTGGCATTAGTTGCACATTTTAATTTTGAGTTGCAACAAATGAATGTGAAAATCGCTTTCCTAAATGGTGATCTAGAAGAGGAGGTTTATATGAAACAACTTGAAGGTTTCTCTTCTAGGGGTGGTGAGCATTTAGTATGTAAGCTTAAGAAATCCATATACGGTTTAAAACAAGCCTCCCGTCAATGGTACATCAAGTTTGATGGGGTAATTTCTTCATTTGGTTTTGTTGAAAATCCCTCAGATAACTGTATATACCAGAAGGTGAGTGGGAGTAAAATTTGCTTCCTTGTTTTATATGTGGATGACATCTTACTTGCCACCAATGATAAGGGGATGCTTCGTGATGTGAAACAATTTCTTTCTAAGAATTTTGATATGAAGGATATGGGTGATGCCTCTTATGTTATTGGCATTAAAATTCAGAGAGATAGGTCCTGGGGTATACTGGGGTTATCTCAAGAAACCTATATAAACAAAGTTTTAGAGAGATTTCATATGCAAAATTGTTTATCGAGCGCTGCTCCCATATCTAAGGGGGATAGATTCAGTTTGGACCAATGTCCGAAAAATGATTTGGAGAAGGAATCCATGGAGAACATCCCTTATGCTGCAGTAGTTGGATGTTTTGGATATATTCAAGTTTGTACGAGGCCGGATATTGCTTTTGCGGTTGGAATTCTAGGGCGTTACCAACACAATCCGGGGTTGGACCATTGGGGAGCTGTAAAGAAGGTTCTAAGGTATCTCAAAGGAACCAAAGGTTACAAGCTTGGGTTTAGGCAGACGGACAATTTAGATCTTGTCGGTTATTCAGACGCGGACTTCGCTGGCTGTGTTGATTCTCGAAAATCAACTTCTGGGTTCGTCTTCATTATGGCCGGTGGGGCTATCTCATGGAGAAGTGTTAAACAGTCCTTAATAGCTACTTCTACCATGGAAGCCGAGTTCGTTTCCTGTTTCGAGGCTACTTCACAGGGTGTTTGGCTAAAGAATTTTATCTCTGGGCTTAGAGTTATGGATTCTATATCTAAGCCGTTGAAAGTCTACTGTGACAACTCAGCTGCAGTCTTCCTAGCTAAGAACGACAAAAGTGAGAGTCGAACTAAGCACATCGATATCAAGTTCTTAGCAATTAGGGAGCGTGTCAAAAATAAAGTTGTATTCATTGAACACATTCATACTGAGTTGATGTTAGCAGATCCCTTGACTAAAGGCATGCCACCATTTAAGTTCAAGGATCTGATTCAGAAAATGGGACTTTCGCCCAATTTGTAATTTGTATATATATACATTCAGTTTTAATAAAATTCTTTGGCATTCAGACGTTTTCTCAATTAAGTGTGTACACCTTCATTTGCTTTATATTGATGAGAAAATGTACTTCAGGGACTTGGAATAAACATAGGGTTTATTTCGTTGGGTTTTGTTTCCTAATTAAGTGCCCAGTGGCAGTTTGCATTTGATCATAATGGATACTACTCGCGCTAATGAGAACATATCATTATGGTTGGTGTTTTTCTGTTATTGAGTGGTAGTGCTTGCACCAAGTGGGAGAATGTAACGTTTATCCGTTACTATTATTATAACATTAGGATAAGTTATGATAATATTCAGTATTTGATATGTGGTGCAACACTAATAACCTAATAACTAGACTACCATTATGATTAGGAGTCTAGTTAGGGTTTAGGAGACCTAAAGACAATCAACCACAATGATGGCCAGTGGTTATATAAGGTCACTAGTCCTCTCACTGCTCACACTACATACCTCATACACCATCTAGAGAGAGCTGAGTAAAGTGAGAGACAAAACACTCGTTATCTCTGCAGCAGTCCGGATCGCTCAACCGTAACAAGAAACTATGGCTGGAGGTTAGTTGATCCTATAATCACATATTATATGATGCATGTGATATTTTAGTCTAACACTAGTATCCACAGCATTAGCTCGGGAGAATTTTGAGATTTTTCATAACTATTTTTTCCCTTGTTGAATTCTCTCGTTGCAATTCGAGTAATTTGTCAATAAGTTTTATCTAGGTTATTTATATAGGGTGATTAAAAACATGTAGGAATGGGTAACTCATACACGCCTGGAATGGTTTGATTCTTTGATTTCCGTCACATATTTTTCATTCTTGTTGAGTTATAGTCAAATAGGTGGATTGACAAAAATGACAAAGATGCTGCTTCAAGACATACATACGAATAAGGATTCTTGCTTTATCAATCAAGATTTAAAGATGCTTGTTAAGACAATAATCAACATTGGGTCGTTTGGCGGATCCATATTGGAAATGCATTTTTGGAAAGCACCAGTCTCTTCTCAAATCTTTGGACGACCTTAGTTTTAACATTTAATTTTTTTTTTTTTACCTTAGTTTTAACTTTTAAGAACAAATATTTAATTTAGTTGAAATGTATTGAATTTTGTATGAGGCTCACCAAGTGTTTAATTCTTGATTTGTCAATAAATTAAATGCTAGCTTGTAGTATATTTTCTGGTCTCACTTGGTTAGTTTTTGATGGTTTTGAATTTAGTGATAATATAATGGTAAGGGAATTGTTTACAGTATCTCTAATCTTGAGAAGCTGGTTTTGGATGATTGTGAAGGGATTAGTAATTTTGAGGTTAGAGCTCCAAAACATAATTAATAGGTAATATATATGTCCTCTTCATGACATTGAAACTGTGGAAAGAGTTATGGGAAATATAATCCATATGGTTACATCATTAATCATGACCTGAAAATGCTTAACACAACCAAGACTGATTCATTTCATGGATCTAAATGTAAAATGTTTTTTTTTGTGAAATCTAATAATATGAAAGTTTGCACGGCGCGCTAGCAGAATTCATTGGCAATTGTTACGCTTCCCTTGCGCATCTTCGAAAGATCATATTCTCTTCACGGACTGAAACTCTAGGTGTAGATCAGAGTGGTTACGTTGGATATCCATACTATTAGGATATATATAGTATGTCAACATTATTATATTGCTTTATGAAGTTGTTTTTCCTATGTGCAAGTCTTTCAATACTTTGATTTATGGGAAACCAACCGTACTTACGTTATGTTATTTAAAAGTGCGTAATTGTTGAAGCTCGCATAGTGAAGTTGGTTGAAGGAAAGAAGGGTGTTTTTTGTAGGGAGGGGAGGAAGAGGTATTCCAAACACATCATTACACACTACTAAACTTATAATAAATAATATTGAGGAGATGCATAAAATTAAAATGCTTATATGTAAATAATTTCTGCTTTTGTGGTGGAACACTATTGAGTAGATTGGATAGAACAAAGGCACACTGAAAATACTCCAACCAATTTTGCATGAAGAGTAATTGCAATTAATCTCTATCTCTATATATATTAAAGCTGTGACACCCCGTAAATTCGAATTTTATTTAGGGATTAATTAAGTAATTAATCCTAATCTAATTGGTAAATTATTCTTTAAAATTCCTAAAAATTCAATAGTCGGGGATTAGTAATTGACTAGTCAACCCAAGTCAATGAGTTGTACTCTAAGCTTTGTGAATAGTTCCCTTGTTCCCTTACACTTTTCCATCTTAGTAAGGGTAATGAAGACATTTCACCTCACAATTGTATTCCAAGCTAACCTAGAGTTGCCTTTCATTCTTTCCATTACACACTCAAAACAAAAGCTCCTCCTTCTCTCTAGAAATTTAGCTAGCTTCCCCTTCAAGCTAAGTTTGAGCATTCCAAAATCTTCCAAGTTTGTCTCCAAGATTCCACCTTTCCTACTCTTGAGCATCTAGGAGGGTAAGATCTATGGTCCTCTTGTGTTTTTAGTGCTTTCTAATGTATCTTTTTCTAAAGATGAAATCTTTATGGTCTTTTGGTGTGTTCTTGAAGTTGGGATTGAAGGAGAGCCTTGTTAGGAGCTTGAAAAGGTGTATTAAGTGAAAGTTTAGGCTACAAGAGGTAACACATGTTTTACAAAATCTATTTTACTTACCTGTATGATGATTTCTTGACTTCTACTTGTAATTTTGCTATGAAATGTGAGATTTGATGCATTGTCTTGTAAGAATGCATATCTAGAGCTTGTTATTAGGGTTCTTGTATGCCATTGCTTGGTTATTCCTTTTATTCAAGTCATATTGTTGTATTTTGTGAGATTTTGGATGTTTTGGACTTGAATTTGAGCTTGGTGTTGAAAATCCCTGAAGGGATAATTTTTGGTACAGGATGTGTACCCGCGGGCGGAACGGAGGGCAGAGCTCCACCCGCGGGTACAATATTGTGGTTGTTTGGAGATTTGTTCCCCGTGATTCTTTTAACTCGGTAATTGATGTTTTGACTTCCCGATGTTCTTTTGTTGGGCTTTTGAGTGTCTTCTTGATGTTTCGTATGTCTAGAACTATATGGTAGGAATCCATGTAGGTTTTGATGTCTTGAATCGTGCTAAGTGTTCAACCTTGTGATTCATTGAACCATGATGAGTCTTGTGTGCTCTTCGGAACTATGTTTAGTTTACCCGTTTGATAAGCATGCTAGTTCGGTGTTGAAATGCTAGCGTGTGTGGTTTGTTCTTTCCTATTGTGGATGATGACTTGTGTTGATCATCGTTGTTGTCGGATTGTGATCCTTTCCTTGTTGAGTATGGTTTCATATCTTCGTTGTGATCCGTTGATTGATTCATATGATGGTGTTGTGTGTGTGGATGTACCTGTATTGCACGGTTAATAGAATGGGACATTAGTCACCAAGGTACGACAGTGGTCCTCGTGGTGGCCATGACATGATTATGGAGTTTGTGACCTGTGTGTAAGGTTCACGTGTTTTGGGAGGGCTTCGGTCGTGTGTGTGATTGGTACCCTCGTGTACTACTTGTTGGTGGAAATTGTTGGTGGTTGTTGGTGGGGGAATGACGGTTCCCGGAGGTATAAGGTTGGACTTGGAAGTACAGGGGTCCTGGAGGTAATGGTTGGAACTAGCTATAAGGTTGGGGGTAGCCATAAGGTTGGAACCGTGCATAAGGAAGAATTATTGAATTCGTAATGTGTGATGTCACGAAGGCATGTGCTGCCGATGTGTGTTTCTCTATCCGTGACGAGTGATGTCACGAAGGCATGTGTTGCCGAAGTGTGTGTCTTTATTCTCATTTGTTGAGCATGTCGGGTGATATTCTACTGAGTGATGGTAGAATACGCCTTGAGCCTTACTTGTGTCGTCGTTGTCACGTCTTGTTGTGTTTTGGGATGTGTTTCCCCTTGTCCTAGCTTGTTGTGAGTGATATAGAGTCCTTGCAGTTGACTACTATCTTTGGTTTTGAACTGATATATACAGTATTCTGTTTCGAAAGGATTTTGTATTAAACTATCTATCTATATATGCTATTGACGCGTATTGATGGGTTACCAACATTATTCGCTGACCGGGCGTCGTCCCATTTATTTATGTGCTTTTCAGGTCCCGAGTAGTCGGCGAGCGCGATAGAGATGGCTAGTTTAGTCTCCCAGACAGTTGTAGTTGAGTTTTGGGCCTGTGTGCCCCTTATGCTAGACATGTTAGATTGTGATGTTGTTTTGACCTTGCCTGTGCGTTCAGTTTAGTGTGGACGTGGCATAACACTCTCCGTTTTCTGGCTTTATATAAATAGGCTTCCGCTGGGTTTTACTTATGTTTGTGGTTAGATTATCTTGCATATTTAAGTTTAAAATGACATAAAAATCGGGGGTGTAACAAAAGCAAAATGATTAGGACAAAATTTTTCCCTCCAAAGTGTGAAAACATTTATTGTATTCACATTGCAAAATGATTAGGGAAATTTTTTCCCTAATCATAATCATCATAAATAATTAAATAAAGATGAAAAGAAAATCAAAGTGAATAATAAGCAAAAAGATTTTAGTGGATAGGAGAGTTATTCACAAAATTAATTTGAGTAATAATTGTTGATCCATAATTGAGAATTAACATTGCAATAATTATGTTATGTTTCTAACATTAATTAATTGGAGATAAATTTAAAATTCAGAATCAATATTTACATAAACATCTACACCTACTTCAACACTATAAATAAACCATCATCCACAGGACCACAATCAATACTATAATTATGTTTTGGTCGTGGCTGGAATTGGGAGGATGGTTGTGACTAGAATAGGGAGAAGAATATTTTTGGGAGATTAGATCTCTTAGAGAGCTTTATACCGTGCGATCTAGGGAAGATGAATCAAGAAATGCGTTGTAGACATGAAGAAAAAGCTGAGGATAAAAATCATACTTTGCTTCTGAACCTAGGGTTTCGATCCTTGGAGCTGTTCTTTCTTGGAAGCAGAGGCAACTGTTAGCCGTTGCTCATGAACGCGAAGAAGAAGAAACAGCTTACGTAAAAAGACTATTTTGCCCTCATGAATAAAAAATTTAAAAAGGTTTAAGTTTTTCCGGCCAATTTTCACCGGTGATTTGGCCAGAAGGACCAAATCTGCAAAAAAGCATAGTTAAAGGACTAAATTGTTAGTTTTAAAAGTCATGGAGCGAAATTAACACCCCCCCTATAGTCATAGGACCAAAAGTGTAATATGCTCATTTGTTAAATTAATAAGGGAAAAGAGTCAAATAGGCCCTCGAACTTAAGCTTAAAAGTCAATTAGGCCTCTAAACTTTTTAAAGGTTCAATTACACCCATCAACAATTCATTTAGGTGCAATGAAGCCCAAAAACAAGTTAACGACCTGCTATCACAGGTCATTAGGGTTCAGGCCACCTTCCGACGAAATTTACGACAAAAAAAAAGGTGACCAGCAACCGACCCAGATTTGCCAAAAATTTCGCCGGTCACTTCTTTTGTCGAAAATTTCGCCGGAAGGTGGCCTGAACCCTAATGACCTGTGATAGCAGGTCATTAATTTGTTTTTGGGCTTCATTGCACTTAAATGAATTGTTGATGGGTGTAATTGCACCTTTAAAAAGTTTACGGGCCTAATTGACTTTTAAGCTAAAGTTCGAGGGCCTATTTGACCATTTTCTCTTAAAAAATAGTCCATGCATCACACGGGACACTTACTAGTTAACTTAAAACAAAAAAAAAAAAAGAAAAAAAAAAAAGAGTTGTGCTAGTACATTCAAAAACTGGTAAGGATTCTCACAAACCATTACACACTACTCAACATATAGTAAAAAATGAGGGGATGCATAAAATTAAATTAATGGGAAAATTGCATCTTTGGTCTCTGAGTTATACCTAAGTTTCGATTCAGTCCCTGAGTTATGATCGTATCCATTTTTAGTCCCTTAGTTATGGGCGAAGTGATGCATTTGGTCCCTGACCGTTAAAATTGACGGAAAAATTTAAAAAAATATTTAAAATTTGAGGGGTAAAATTGAAAATTCACATTTTATTCTCCTTATATCAAACCACTTTCACAACATTATTTTTCACTTCTTAGCTTCTTATTTCAAGATTGTTCAATTCTAAAAGCATTTCAATAACTTTAGTATGACTTGTTAGGAACCTGTCTCTCGTATAACAAACATAAGACTTAGCACAAACAAAGAAACACTTGATCATTGTCTTCAGACGTGTGAATTACACTATCTTATCAATTTTCAATTTTCTTTACTGAGCAACAAAGATAATCAAACCAGAACTTTTGAGATACAAAATGATGTCAAATTTCTCAGGTTGCTTTTATGAGAAATTCACCAACGGAATAACTTGAGATTTTTAGTATGTAAAATTTTTTCAATATAGAACAATCAATAATCGTTTTTAGAAGTTACAAAAGTTTTTAGAATTTTTATAACCGAGTCTTAGGTTCCTCATTTATTACTCTGATTTTTAAGAAGACATAGGAGGTGATGGGTATATATATATATATATAATATAATTTTCATATATTGTCAGGATATACGGTCAAGAGAAAGTGAATAAAATGTGAATTTCCTACTTTACCCCTAAAATTTTAAATATTTTTTAATTTTTCCGTTAGTTTTAACGTTCAGAGACCAAATACGCCACTTCGCTCATAATTGAGGGGCTAAAAATGGATACGGTCATAACTCAGTGACTGAGTCGTCACTACCTTTAAACTCAGTGACCAAACTCGCCATTTTCCCTAAAATGATTACATGTAATCAATTTCTGCTTCGTGGAGGCACGAGGGAAATGTAAAAGTTCCTGCATAATTTTAAACTTGGGGCTTCGAGTAATGACAACCTTTTCAATTCCCGAACAGCAAGCAAGCAATTTTTATGGAAGCTAAGGATTTAGTAATATAATGCTAAAGTTCTTGTCGGGCTTGGGCTAACTTGTACTATTTTCTCTATTCTTTTTCTAGCGTGGAGATGTTGACGCATCCGTGCTTAATTCTTTGACTGCAATAAATCTGCAAGTAATGGAGCTGCATAATTTGAGTTTTAGTAGTGAGGAGCAGATCGCCACTGCTATGACATTGCTTCAAAAATCTCCCAACCTATGTGAATTGCGTATTGGGGCAGCAATGGTACATACGATTGAGTTAGTTTATTTTTAGCAATCATGATTCTTTATTATTTCTTTGTTTCTTTCGAGTTCTCAATCTCGTTGTATAGTGTTTTTCGTTTATTGTTGAGTTGTAGGCATGGAGCCAATTTGAAGAAGATACTATGAAGCATTTGGAGGATCCAGACCGTTACTTTATTAATCAGGATATGAAGAAGCTTAGAACAGTGAAGATTGATGGGTTTAATGGATCTAAGCTTGAAGTTCTTTTTATGAAGTCGGTCTTCTCCAAATGCCATGCATTGGAGAGACTTGTTATTCATCCTGCATGCAGAATAACATATGCCTTAATGGCAATGAATATCCTAAGGGAGTTGATGTGCGTCCCTTGTGCATCTCCTAATGCACAACTTGTCTTCCTAGAGCACTAGTCTACGTATAACCTTGTTGGTTATAATGTCGTAGATGACTACTAATTAATTTGTTGGATAATGGCATGCGAATCAAGTTACTCATGTCTTAACTAGGGAAATATATTGGTCATTATGTTTGATCGTGCATGCGGAGTGGCTCCAAAACCCTTTGTCTTATATTCTGTGTTTGAACATAGAACTTATATGTCCTCTGTTTTTTAGGACTATAACTTTTGTTTTCAATTATTTAAATGATCACTTTTAAATCTTAGTCACATTTCTTATGGGATAAAAATTTTGGAGAACTCTGGTTTAGAGTGAAGACATTTTTGAAATTTCACAATTATAGTGGGGGGCGAGATGCAGCCTTGAAAGCCAACTGATCTGAAATGATGATTGATACATGTCCATCAGCTAAACAGAAGCCATTGTCTTTCTCGAAAAGCTTACCGGACGATTGTTCAAATTCAAATTTCAAATATGCCCCGCTCGAAATTGGTGTCCATGGGATTTAATGATTTACTCGGTTAATATTTTATCCCGCCTTAAAAGTCATTTTACAAGTTATCCACTTATACCAAACACTTTCATACAAACCGCTACTACTATCAACTGGTCAAACTATAAACATAATTGGCTATGAGCAACTAATTGTCAAACACCCCTAAGAATTTCCCAAATAAGTTATCCATAGAATTAAAATGAAGATTACATATAAAGATTTCAAGTTTTTATAAATTAAATAATATTCAAAGAAATGAAGGGATGCAAATATATATATATATATATATATATATATATATATATATATATATATATATATATGTATGTATGTATGTATGTATTTAAAATATCAGCATTCTCATCAAATATGCAAGTAATGATTTGATTAAATGAAATACTATAAAAACAAGTCTAATCTACTGAGCTGGCCTACCATGCATCCTAATAAGGTAGGTGTGGATTAGGAATTTTGAGACCCGTCAAAAAGTAAGCCACACGGGCTAGCCCTGCTAAGGGGCGAGCTAGCCTGCCATTATTATTTTAAAAAAAATAAACAAAGATTGTAAATTTTCTAATTCACCCACCTTAATCCAAGATGCAATAGATAGTAAATAATATAAACCCTAAATCTATATTCCATAGCCTCACCTCACACCCACTCACCATCTATCCATTTCTTCCTTGCCATTCCCCAACAACTTTGCCAACGCCATCGTTTGATGTAAAATCGGCTTTGATGAGCAATGACACCTTATGGCAAAAGTACGAAATTCTCCTACTTTGTTTGTGTTTGTTATTAAGTTTTATACATTTGTTTCCAATTTTTTGTGGTTGATTCAATTTTTGGCATATATAAGTGTATTATTATGTATTGATGTTATTGGTTATACTTTTTTTTAATACTACTGACTCTATTACTATGTAGTATTATCCTATTGAAGCACAAAGAGTCAATATCGCCTCCACTGAGGCTCAATCCACAACCTCCCTTATGAGAGAGCAACTTGGTGCTATTGGACTATTGTTGGTTATACTTATTTCATTTGTTTCACAAGGTGCGTGCAAAGGTTTTTCTTCGCTAGCCTTTGGCCTACATTGACAACTCTAGTTAAAAGTAATTTAAGTCTTAACCATATATATGAGAGAAATTTCAAATTAAAGTTCAAAGAGTTAAAGGAATTAGTAGGCTTGAGCAATGCAAAAAAATCCTCCAAATATTTCAATAACACATTATTCTTTAATTTATTTATTTTTGTATAATAAAATCAATGTATAAAAAATATATATACACTACATACAACCCAAACAAGCAAATATGATAGACATATCTCATCCCGTCATCCTCCACTTATTCAATCATGGGCAGCTCAACTGGTCATAGAGGTGAAACTCTGGAAGAATGACCAGGGATCGAGTTTCACCAGTGGCATTGTGGGAGCAACTTCTCAAAGTGAGGGGGTGAGGGGGGGTTCCTTGTGCGCAATGAGCACTGGTCTAGCCTCTGTGGTTTATGTTCAGTTGAGTTACCATCTATCGAGTCATATAAACTTCAAGGCATTGCGAGAGCAACTTCTCAAAGTGAGGGGGGTTCCTTGTGCGCAGTGAGCACCGGTCTAGCCTATCGAGTCATATGAACTTCAAGGCATTGTGGGAGCAACTTCTCAAAGTGAGGGGGGTTCCTTGTGCGCAGTGAGCACCGGTCTAGCCTCTGTGGTTTATGTTCAGCTCGAGTCATATAAACTTCAAGGCATTGTGGGAGCAACTTCTCAAAGTGAGGGGGGTTCCTCGGTCTAGCCTATGTGGTTTATGTTCAGCTCGAGTCATATAAACTTCAAGGCATTGTGGGAGCAACTTCTCAAAGTGAGGGGGGTTCCTTGTGCGCAGTGAGCACCGGTGGTCTAGCCTCTGTGTTTTATGTTCAGTTGAGTTACCATGATTTACGTCCTCCAAATGTTCTATCAGGTCATATAAACTTCAAAAGTTTAGAGACATTCAATTCAAAATTTTCTTCTACCAACTCTTAATGTTTCTCTCTCTATTTAAACTCTATTTTCTCTCCATGTTTAAACTTTATAAACCTTATACCTAAATTCAATAAATTATATTTTCTTCGTTATCCTATATTTTTTTCATACCTAAACTCTACTAATTTGTTTCTCTCTCCTAAACTTTAGGATCTTAATCTAAAAATTTTAAATAATATTATTTTTACTTTATTATTACTTGTATATTTTGCTTTTTTATTTTTTTTTCTACCAACTTTTTATCCCTAACTTCTAAACTTTCTTTAGGAACTTTTCTCCCTAACTCTAAACATTCTCTAAGAATATTTCTCCCTAAATACATGAACAAATCAAAATTTTCATCTATCACCATTAAATTTTACTATATATATATATATATATATATATATATATATATATATATATATATATATATATATATATAATAAAGTTCAAATGCGGCGGGGTCTTCCCGTGCGGCGGTGCGGCGGAATTCCAGAATACACCAACAGTGTTAACAATATGCACCAACAGTGTAATAAAAACACACCCCAATAAAATGCAATAAAACATCACAAAATACACAACAGACTCAAAAAAAATACACCATATAACTCATCACCCCCAATGGTGTATTTCCGAACAGTGTATGGTGTTTTTACTCACACCTAATGGTGTGTGTTTGGTGATGCGGGGCTCTGTTTACTCTGTTTTGTGTGGTGTATTTTCCTAACGTTGATGGTGCATATTTGTTGAACTATTGGTGTTGCCGCACCGTAAGAAATCGCCGCACCATAAGACACTGCCGCACCTGAACTCGCCTCTCTCTCTCTCTCTCTCTCTCTCTCTCTCTCTATATATATATATATATATATATATATATATATATATATATATATATATATATATATATATATATATATACTTGTATATTTTGGTGTTTTTTTATTTTTATATTTATGTTTGTAATATTTTTTTCTTATATTTAACAATAAGTTACTACGAATACCGAACTACTATCCGCAACGGCAATTTGAGGCTGCAAACAGTAGCACATTGTTGTTGTTCGCACTCCCAAATTACTATGGTAAATAATAGCTCAGTGCTTGATGTCTAGCAGTATATCAAATATAATTTTAAAATATTTTATTTGAACATTTCTGTTACAATAAATTTTAGTATTCAATATTGTTTTCAATTTCTTATGAAATAGTTTTTTTTTTTTATATAAGTCTCACCATACTATGGATTAAAATAGTAATGTTGAGAATGTTGATGTGGGTGAAGAACTATATAATAAGAAGAATTTTGTGATATATTATAAGTTTATAACATGTTTTGCAAGAAAAATTATAAGCTAAAGTGTCATCTTGCACCATGAACTATAACTGATTTTTCATGCCGCACCCTGACCTTTCTTAAGTGCTATTTCGATCCACGAACCAATTATTTCTTTTCATTTAGAACTTTTCACAGGTTACCTACAGGTTACAGGTAAGAATATGTTTGACATGAACTTTTTTTTTTTTTTTTTTTGGCGCTCACGTCTTCCTCCCTCACCGTTTCTGACCCAGTACCCGTTTATGCCTCGGTCAGATTTTGAAACTGCGTTGTCGATAGCATCGGTAACTAATTAATTTAGTTTGGGTATCAAAAACCAAGAGATTGAGCAGAAAGGGTTCTTTGCATGAGAGAGAGAAACAGGGGCAAAGAGATATATGTCTTGCTTCTGATATCACTAGGAGGATGCAATGCAGAAATTATTGCAGGTGGTGAGCGGTGGGGGTTGGTGCTGTTAGAGATTTATATAGTAATGAGAGTTAATGGATCAGATGAACTACCATGAAAAGCTTAAATAATATTTGGAGTTGTGGAGTATGAATATTATTTTAGTTTGGTAGAAAGTAAGTTGGGAAAATTGATTTGAAACCGAAGCTTAATGATTCGTTGGTGTTAACGAATCGTTAGTTTTAACGAATCAATGCATTAATCAATTCGATGGTATCGAATCAAGTTTGACGAATTGTTGTACAATTTGTTAAAATTCGTTTTAATGCACACTTCGTTATTTTTCAAATGGTTTCGGTAAAGGCTTAACGAAAGTTTAATACTTTCGTGCTTTGCCTGGACGCGTGAAATGTATTAACGAAAGTTGATGGCCCTATTGTTGGGTTCGTTGGTTAAAATGAAATGGTTTCGTTGGTTAAAATGAAACTCCTAATCAATGCTTTCGTCTTTGCATGAAATGGTTTCGTCCTAATCATGAGGTTCACGAAGCTTGTTGGTTTGTGCCTACAACTTGCATTTAAGTAATTAATATATATTATTTATTTATTTATTTATTTATTTATTTATTTATTTTGCATGCTTGCATGCAATGAGTTAATAAATATATAATATATATATATATATATATATATATATATATATATATATATATATATATTTTACTTTGTTATTTTGTATGCAGTGCATAAATCTACGAAGGTCCATATCATATAAATATTTATAATATTCAGATATATTTTTCCCATGCCTGATATATCAGATAAGATATATCTTATGGAAGTTAAATTTTAAATTTAAATAATTAACTTCCATGTAACTTCTCCTAACTGCTATATTTATTTTATATAAATATCTAG